TATTTTCTGTTTATGCCCCTTTATTTTTGGAAACTTACTTTATTTATTTAAAAAAAAAAAAAAAAAAAAAACAACAAACTTTTTTCCTAAGTTAGGGAGGAGTTGAATAATACTGCTCTTCTGCATCACGTGTTCCCCCCCCTGATGTTTCTGACATCATGATTCGTGGTTTATGGTTAATTATCACACTGTTATTTTTTTTTTAATATAGATAATGGGATTTTCTCCTGAAAGTGTGGCAGCGTTTATAGCAGTCCTTGGGATTCTGTCCATCATTGCACAGGTGAGTTACCCCCGTGTGTTTCACTGATGTGGTAACTTGGAAGGAGCTGTCAGGAGCTTCCATAGCGCTGCGCTTCCTGAAAGGTGACTCGCCCTCCCTGTAGCTGCTTTTCTAAGTCTCTGATAATTCATTAACATTCCCACCTTAACCTACGTGAAAAACCAGCTCCTCAAACAGGGTTTGGAGCATTAATATCCCGAGTGTATTGTGCTGGGAAAACTAAAGCCTTGTGCATAAAAGAATGGCTGACAGTTCAGTCCTATTACTTGCCATGGTTTTGGTAGAGGTTCCTGAATAGTTGGCAAGTTCTGATTTTGGAGAGTTTTAACTTGGCTTTTGAAAATTAATTTAGTTATTTGCATGTATTTAACATTTAGATTAGTTTTTAATGCTTTTTATTGCTTTATTCATTTATCTGCGTGTATTTAACATGTAGAATAAAAGGTTATTTTTCTTTGACTATTTTTTTTCCCCCTCTCTGCCAGACAATAGTTCTGAGTTTACTTATGCGCTCCATTGGGAATAAAAATACCATCCTCCTGGGCCTGGGTTTTCAAATACTGCAGCTGGCGTGGTACGGCTTCGGGTCAGAGCCATGGTATGTCAATTGCACTTTAATATCTGAAGGATACGGTATTTTTCTGCACCTGATCCTTTATCAGGGGCAGACACCGCAGTGTGTGTACACACAGTGTGTGTACACGTGTGTGCAGCAGTTTCCTTGAGCCCGTGTGTTTTGCAGGATGATGTGGGCGGCCGGCGCGGTGGCAGCCATGTCCAGCATCACTTTCCCAGCCGTGAGCGCGCTGGTTTCCCGAACGGCCGACGCTGACCAGCAGGGTAGGTTTTGCACTAACACTTGGAGTTCCCCTCGGGGTCTGACACTTGGCACAGGGCAGCCCTGGCACCTCAGCACAGCTCACCTTAAAATCCCTGTTGCTTGGGAATTGCAGTCGGTGCATCCCTCTGTCTGCCACAAGGGAAAAACATTCAACAGGGCCCCAACAGGAGCAAAATATTTAGAAAACTGAATATGCTGTTTATTTTCCTTGCTTCCCATAGTGCAACACTATTTATAGACACTTTCCTGCTTGCATCAGTTTGAAGGTGAAATGAGTAAAGTCTTACTGATTTGCTCGTAATCCATTAAACATAGTTAATTCTGTATGTTTAAATATAGGTAACAGCCTGTTTTACTTCTCCCAGGTGTTGTCCAAGGGATGATAACAGGAATTCGAGGACTGTGTAATGGTTTGGGACCCGCACTTTATGGTTTTATATTCTATATATTTCATGTTGAACTGAATGAACTCCCCATGCCGGAATCCCCCTCCGGAGGAGGCAGTGTCACACAATACCATCTACAACAGGTGGGCTGCTTTTGCTTCTTAATTCCAACACAAAGAAATTGGGATCATGTGCCCACCCCCTGTTGATACGATGCTGTATTACTGCAAATGCAGCCTGTAAAAAGAGGTTCTCAAATCACTCTTGGGGATGGTTGTTGACCTGTTTAGTTTTAACTAGATGATGGTATGGTTTAGTTTTAACTTTCAAAGATAGTAATTAGAGAGGATAGTTTGAGGGAAGGATGGACTAATAACTACAGCATCTCGCTCTTCTCTTGTCTCCCTGACAGTGTAGTTACTTTTCACATGTTGTACCTTTTTGTTTTGTTATCCTTTAGTCTTTTAACCAAGCTCACCGTGTGTTTTTTTAGTTCCTACTAGATATTAATTTAATATTAATTAAATTATAAATATATAAAATATTAATACTAATATTAATTTGTTGATATTAATTGATTTGTTGATACTAATTTGTGTCTAAGGGCTCATTAATACTTAGTGGTGTTACTGTTGTTGCTTTCAGAATTCTATAATCCCTGGCCCCCCCTTCCTATTCGGCGCGTGCTCTGTGCTGCTGGCACTACTCGTTGCCTTGTTCATTCCTGAACACACCAACCTGAACATCCGCTCCAGCAGCTGGAAGAAGCACTGTGGCAGCCACGGCCATCCCCACAGTCCGCAAGCTCCTGGGGAAGCTAAAGAACCCTTATTGCAAGACACAAACGTATGACAAAAATCCAGGAAGATCCTTTAGACTTTTTTTTTTTTCATCAGCAGTTTGGGATACACATTCCAGTTCCATCAAAAATGTAGTTTCTTAAGGTAATCTTAAGAAGTATCTTTCTGCATGAAGTTTGTAAGAATTGAAACAGACAAAAAGGATGTTTCTCCAAAGATGTTGCCATTGAGTGACTAATTTGCTTTTTGAAAACAAACTGTTACATACTTGTCTCTTGCCATGAAATACTGTTACTACTTAACTTTACATTCTAGCTGGGAGACAAACCAGAATGACGTCCCGGCATGAGCATGTGTCCTGTTTCCTTAAGGTGGTGAGCTTTAACTCTAGTCACGCGGCGTCCCAGTGAGAGGGACGGGCAGCCCCTGCACCCAGTCATTTCAGCGGTGTAAAGTCTTGGGTCAGACGATTCAAAGCCTTAATGTAAATGTATTCAAATAGGGAGAAGGTGAATTGGTATCGCTTATTTTAAAAGTCATATGGCAGGTGTTTTTTTTTAAGTTTGTACTAATATAAAAATCACATGAGCACGCTTGCTGAACAGTAAAAGTTATTTTTATGTAAGTGCATTTACTCTTTCTATTTTTTGAATAAACGGTAGTACCAAACCCTTCTTTAAACATGAAGTGGGTGTTTTGAGCCTACAGGTTTTAATAGTGGCTCTAAACCTCTGCTTTCTAGGTACCGTTTATTATACCACTAGACTGCGGATGTTTGCGTAATCATAAAGGACCTCAAAACTTGAATACACAGACTGAACTACGAGCTGTAGCCTTGACTCTGTCCGTGTGCTATATAGTGGCCTTTGAGGACTGTCACAATAACCCTTTTGCATTACAGAGCTAAAGTTTTAGTCCTAAATTTTCAGGACCCTTAGTACAGAAGAGAGCTTTATACAATTACTGATGTGAATTTCTCTAAAAGTGTATATTTTTGTGTCCAGTTGTATTATTTAAGTGTTCCTTTGTATAAATTTGTGTATAAAGTATTGTATAGGTTTAAAATGTTTTCATCTTGTGGTTATTGCTTAATGCTTTTTTACCTTTGAACATTCACCATGGTTGACCAAGAGCAGGAAAAAAAATATGTAAATATACTGTTAATAAAGTTGAATATTTTAATGAATTTTAAAATAATTGTTAACGTCTGTTTAACCCCTAATTGAAGTTCTAGAGGATGCACTGAGCATGTTAATCATCTCCCTTTTGTTCAGCAGCACTTTTGTTTCATTTCAGATTTGAATAGGACAGGGAGAGCTGGAAAGCTACCACAATTTAATTACCAGCTTCCTGTTTGATAACGGCTTATAATACTTCTAGGTAAATAGACCAAATTTACATTAACTTACACCTACTAAAACTTAGCTAGAAATAACAGCTGAAGCACAGACCTTAGCTGGGGGTGGCTGCCATCGACGCGCTGGTCCGGTAGCACGGCCTTCCGAGGGGGAATGAACGCTGGGAAGAAAGCTCCAGAAGAAGGTAAGGGGAATGGGCCAGTCCTGGGAGTGCAGCGCAGGGGCGAGGGTGGTGGAGAGCTCTTACGCCATTACTAAGCAGAGTTTTTGATAAAAACCATTTAATATTTCCAGTGAAAATTACATGTGCCAAAACAAGCGAATATACATTGACACGGTGCTGATTTATAAACAAATATACACATTTTGCACTGCAAAACAAACCACTTAAATATACGATCCTCTGGATGCACTTAAATAACTAAGGTAAAAGGTATGAAATATCATTAACAACAAAAGTATGCAAATACTTGTTAAAAAAAGTGTATTTTCTATGTTACAAATATTTGTACTCCAGTTCTTTACTGGGACCCCAAATAGAAGAGGGCACTGAGTGAAGTTGTTACGTGATTGCAGTGTCTGAGCCCAGGCAGCAGAACAAGATTCCTCAGCCCCCTAAACTCCCGCCTCAGAGTCCCCGCAGTCCTACCCAGGTAAAGTAGGATTAGTAACAATTAAGTAGCTTTTACCTGATGTGATACTTTCAATGGTTACCTGGTCAGGTACTTCACCTGATGTTTTGCTGTGCATGGTGGCCTCTGGAATGTAATACTGGCAGATTCATAGAAGACTTAGGGTAACCAAGAGCGATAATTTTAAATTATAATTTTATACCTTCTACAAAATAATTTAGCATCCTTAATATCAAATACATTTGTAAATCTATATGCAATAAGTTGGTTCCAAAACTAAGCAATTTTTAAAAATTAAAACAGGGCGGATGAGGCAGTCGTGCTGGCCACTACTGGCAGGGCCAGCTTCACCCTGCTCTCCAGCACTGCCTGTTTGCAGCGTCCTTTCTCTGAGAGAAGCAAGAACAGCACTGAAAAGTCATCCAAGTCAGTCAAGGCATCTTTCTCAAAGAAAACAGATTCAGACTTACAAAATTATGTCAGTTCATGTTGATACTTTACTAACAGGTTATTACAGGAGAGTCAAATGGTGGCCCCAATGGTTAAAAGAGGACTCTTACTGTAAGAGCCCCTGTGCTATCCAGGAAAATAAGCGGAGGCTGGTGTGAGCGCAGCTCTCGGTGCCGGTGGGGCTTTGGTGGGCAAGTACGGTTTCAGATACTCTGTGGAACAGCACAAACAAGATACTACTCTTAGAACCATAACTATTCCTTTAGCTACATTTCAAATAAAGGCTTGTTTCCTATTCCATACATACCTGAATTTACTGTGTTCTGACTAAGCCCTCGTAAAGGAATGCTGTCGTCTTTTTTCTTGAAATACTTTGAATCCAGCCCCAAATTATCACCACTAGAGGAAAAGAAAAAATAAAAGGCTAATTAAAATTTTAAACAAATGTAGTTAGTTAGCAGTGCATTAACACCAACTGTGGATACAGACTCATTCACAAAAATCCTAACTTGAAATGGAACTTGAAGTTCCCATGAAGTTCATTTAAAGGTAAACCAGCGCTGAATAGGTTAAGAACAGTCTAGAACTAATTTTCTGACTGACCCCTCACCTGACAGCCTCCCCTCTGTCACCAGGAGGGACAGTACTCCTCCGGACCCGCTCCTGAAAGCATGGCTCTTCCTTTATTACCTACGACCATGATTAGTTACCAATTACCTCTGCCACAACTTAAAATTCATTAACACATTGATGGAGAAAGGCAGATCACGGGACTAGCTTTGGTACTGGAAATGCTCTGCTTGGTTCCAGACACACATAGAAGACAAATGGCTCGATAAAAATAGTAACAATAAAAACCCCAGTAAAAATGCAACAGATAACACTTACTTCTCCTTATTTGCTGGATGAGTGGCTGGGGTCACTGCCTGACCATCCGAGCAGCGATTCACTTTAGAAAGCTGCGTGTTGAACTGGATCTGCAGAACCGTAAGAGTTGCAGGTCAGAGAGGGCTGCTCCAGACAGGACGGCCCCGGAGGGAGCTGCTGGGGGATTTAGGTGGCTGTTCCTTCCACAGCACCTCTGTGCAGCAAAGCGTGCAAGAAGCAGCCACCTAAAGCCAAGCTGATAGTGTTCAGCACTAAGTCTAAGAGTACTTGGATAAACAGGAAATATTTATGCATTTTGAGAAATATTCAAAGTATTAAGTTTTGATATTTTATGCTGTCCCGTTCTTAACCAAAGAGAAAAGTGAAAGTGCTTGCCTTTGGTACTGGACACTGTGAACTGACATTTTTGTTGTGTGCTGGTTCTGGGAAGTTGTTGAAAGCGTAGAGAGGAGAAATGGGGTGATTGATTCCTGAGCTGGGGAAGGATGGTCGGTCAGGCTGGAAGAGAAACAGAATACATCCAAAAAGGAGAAAAACAAGTCTTGAAGTAATTGCTTACAGAGATTCAAAATTCCAAAATTATCAACTAACCACAAAGACATTTGAGTCTTCCTGATGGGAAGAAAACATCGCTTTCCCAAGAGTCAAATTCTTAAGGAAAACATAACTTTTAACTAGTTAGACGAGTTAAGCACTCTTAGCTAATAATTATAAGCTCATAATAAGCTACACACCCTGTAACTGATTAATATATTAAACGTATCTAGCTATAAACCAGAGACCTCTTCCCATGAATATGCCTTTCCACTACTGAGTGAGCAGCTCATCAATTGCTGGGTGACAACAGCCGTCTGTATACATGGGACAACAAAGAGTAAGAACCAACAAGCTGCGGTGGTTAACCAGGCAGGTAATGCTTCTTGCCCCTTATTGTCATAAGTTTCTAAATATCACTAATAAGATTATTCAAATAGTACACTATTTCAACCTATACCAGGATAATTATTATGTAAATTAACCTCAACACTTTTTCCCCCACCCCGCACTGCAACTTTTCCAAGCTAATTTTGCATTGGTTTGTGTATTTTAGAGCTTAGACCATTCTCACTGAGAAGGCCAGAGCATTAAGTAGCACCCAACAGGGTATTATGTTATTAAAAAAAACCAAACCTAAGCCAAACAAAAAAACTACACCCACCCAAAACTACAGGGCCCAAGACGATGAAAGCACTTTTGCTCTTTTCTTTTAAGGCCATACATTTCAGGAGATAATGACTACATCATAACCACGCTATGGATAGCTGTATCTTACCATGCCATGAGGCAGAATGGCGGCCCTCACGCCCCCGTGGGGAGTGGCAGAAGGCTCCAGCTTCTTGCCCACCTGAACTTCATTCAGCTGTTTGTTCAACCACGTGATTACTGGAGAGAGAAGAAAAAGGTCAAGCTCACTTCCCACCTCTTACAAGCCATTTCAAACAGGAAGTAGCCCTTCCTCAAAAAAAGCAACAGCTTAGTGGGCTGTTCTCCCTCCTGAAGCTCAGGCCTCACCAGAAGCCCTCGTCTCATGAAAAGTCTCTTTGTTCAAGCTTCTGCGCCCCTGCGTGTTCCTTCCTCTGGAGTCACCCCCCCTCACACACCCCAAGCGACCACTGCAGAAGTCTCCTCTGCTCCCAGCTCTCCCTTCTTACACACACGCTGCAGCCAGAGCCGCCTTTTCCATAAATGACCGTAACGCAGCTCATTACAAAAAAGAACACGGGTAAAGCAATATAAGTGGCTTCCATTCATTTTCAATAGCAGCCAGATCATTGTGTCATTTTTACAGCAGAAGTGAAATTGTATAAACCTACCATTTTCATTGGTCTTCAGTAACTGCTTACTTTCTTCTAGTTTTTGTATTGTAGTTTCTAGCTGTTCTTGGAGCTTGCTGACCTGCAATGTTCCCGTAATAATTATAACACCAGCAGCAGCTACTACTAATTAGAAACTGAAGAAATTATATAAATAAATAAAAAGGATCCATAAAGTTGTTCTAAAATTCCTTGGAGAAGTTTGAACTCAGTTTTTTACAAAAGCAACATGATAACTCTTTTAAAATAAGCCCTACTTTTAGCTAGGGTGAGCACAGCCAAAAACCTTTCCGACCTTAATTTTTCTCTGATTAAATAGCACAAGGACTTAATGGAACAAAAAGTTCCTTCTGTTCCTGTTCTTGCCTCCTCCCCTGACGTCCACATGAATATATCTCTAAAGGGTGTCCATTCATCCATGGTATTGCTTTCTACTCTTAATACAATTTTAGTTTTCTTCCATATGGATGGATGGCTCCTACAAACCAGTTTAACATGAAAAAAATGGCAAGTTGATTGCACCTTTAAACAAAGCTGTTAACTAAGTAAAAGTTCTATTTCTATTTCACAGAAAGATTTAGGACCTTATTGCTGTAAATAAATAAGTTAAAAACCACAACCCCCAACACACTACATGCAACAGCATTTACAGGAGAGCGGTAAACGGTACCTCCTGCTCTTTCACTCGAAGAGACTGTCCTATCTCCTGCAAATCTCTCTGCTCTTTTTGAAGTCTCTCTTCTTTTTCTGCCAATAGTTTTTCCTGTTGAATTGTCACTGTATTTTTCAATTTTAATTTACTCATTAGAGTTTTCAAATCTCCTTGTAACTTCTTGATAATTTCATTAGCCTATTAAAAAAAATAATAAATCAGATATTCTCAAAATAAACACCTAAAAATAAGGATAATTTCATAAGGATAATGGCAAGTTTAAACAAACCTTAAGAAGTTCAGCAGACAGCGACTTAATTGTTGTCTCCAGTTTTTCAATATGACTTTGTTTTTTCTCTGTACTTTCTTCCAGTATCACCTTTACAGAATAAAAGAATATTAAAATTATAATAAAGATGTGATAGACATCACTTATGATTTCAAGCAGAACCTCAATAATTCTTTGAGAACTAATCCTCACAAGAAATTCACACCTTGCTTTTCAGTCAAATTATATAGTCCCTCAATTAATGCATTTTCTTGTTTACAAGCAGTGACCTTTGTAAAACTGAGCCCATTATACTTTTGATGCTATAATTTAGAATCTTTAATGACATTTGAAACCTTATTTGCTGTATTCATAAAAGTAGTCAGCTGCTAGTCTACAGAGACTGCAATTAAGAAGGTTCTACAGAGCTTTAGAGAAAATTATTTTGAAACTTGAAGGAACCTTTTGTTCTTGTGTTGCATCTAATACTTCTTTTGTTCTAACCACCAGCTGATCTTTATCTTTGATTTCTTGCTCCAGAACAGCAACTCGTGTCTGCAGCTGATTAATGAGTTTCTCTTTTTCATGACATTCAGCATCCAGAGTAGTGTTCTCCCGACGCAGCAACAGCACCTCCTGCTTCGCTCTTTGACATTCCTAGAATGTTGAGGAGGAATTTTATTTATTTAAAAAAAAACAAACAAACCTGTAATATTTATTTAACTAAACAGTAAGAATAACGTTGAGTGAAGAGGAGCTGAACAAACTTAATATGCCATATTTGGTATTACATGCACAGGCAGGCAGTGTTAGTGTTCTAAATATAGTAAGTTTGGTTATGGAAATTAATAAGCCATACATCTTCTATTCCAGAAAGCTTTGCTTTCAGTTCTCTGACTGTGGAGTCTCCTTTGTATCTCCTTTCTGTTAGATCTTTATTGATGACATCGAGTTCTGAGAGTCTGTTCTGCAACTGTTGAATACTTTTCTGATGCAAATTTTCTAATTCCTTCTTCTGTTGTTCATGCTGCTGTTGGTACTGAGCTTGTGCCTATAAGAAGCAAAGAAAGTAAGTAGTTCTTCAATAAATGAAAGTGAAAATTAAGCCAAGAAACTATCAACATATAAGAATATTGTTAATTCTTTTCTACTGTTATACCTGGAGAGTTTTTTCCTTTTCAAGTGTCAGCTCCTGGGTGTGTTTGTTGGTCAGAGCTGCAGTGTGCGATGCCCATTCATTTTTCAGTTTGTCTAGTTCTCGGCTCTTCTCTGACAAGCTCTGTTTAAGTTTGACAAAGCAGATGGAGTTTTAAAAATTTAAGCATTTCAGTCAATACTCAATGATTCTTTACTGTTAGTTCTTAAAAAGGACATGGAATTATTAAGAAAAATCTAAATTTCAGCAGCAGATGCCAAAATACCTGTTCATTCTGTAAATAGGAAAGTAAGGCACTGAGAAGCCAAAGAGCACCTTTCTGACACTGGGGATAAAATAATCTTCATTTACAATTTCATTTTCTTTTAACAGCTATTTAAGAGTGAAGAAACAGTCTGCTCATGTTCCCTACCCTTGTAATACAAAGTGCTCTAGTAGGGGAAAAAAAAAGTTCTTTGGCATCTATCTTTTCCTCTTTTTGATTTGTAATTCTGCATTGCAATTCAGCAAACACATACAGTAACTCCAGCTGAAACTGCAAAGATGAGGTAAACAAGTATTTAATTCCAAAAAAAGCTCCATTATAGGAGGTTTAATGGAATTTTTCTGCTTCATGAGAGTCAAAAAAGTCACCTTGATAATTCTAGAATTTGACCCAAATCATCCTCTTGATACACAAATGAGAAGGCATTACTGGGCTGACTGCGAAAATCAAGAAGTAATAGAGTAACATGAAGTCCAAGACTTTCAATTTATTTATCATGGCTTCACATTTTTTCCAAATATAACAGCTACCAACTATTCACAGAATATGTAGAGTATCTTTACCTTCACACTACCATATATCTAGCATACAATGAGTATGTGCATGTACAGACAGACGTCTGTACAAAATAAAGTAAAATTCTGCTTCAGTGCTGTGAGGACTACACTTTATTGTTCAGTCGCAGGCTTTGCTGGTCCTCAGGAAACACCACAGTGGACAATACTTCACTCGCTCCCAGTCGATTGTCTTGGCTGGGGAGTGGCTGACCAACAGCCCACCAGCAGGTACATTTGCCACAGATTAAAAAGAGTGGAACTTAGATCAGCAAAGTTAAAAATTTACATTACCTGTTGAGTGTAGCTCAGTTGTCTGGTAAGATCCTCTTCAGTTTTTCTAAGCTTTTCTTCCAACATCATTTTGTCTTCCTATGTACAAAGTTACATCAGGTCAAATCCTTAGCTCCCAAAACACAAGTAGTATTTAGCTTCCATTTTATCAGCATACAGTGCTTAAGCAACCACATATCCACTGTATTTGTGGAAAAAATAAACAAACTTAATTTTGAATAATGTATAATCAATACATTTAAAAGAAAAGGCATTGGCTCACAAGGTAAAAACCCTGAATTCAATTTTTATCAAGTTTCTATAAGGAAAAATATCTTTCCATAAAGACTTATTTACAAAGGAATTGCATGAACAACCAATCAAGTGAAATCTGTAATTTTATGTTATGAAAATGGCTTATTAGGTGGCTATAGCCATGACATCACAGGAGGAGAGACACAAATCCCAGGCTATCAAAACAGACAACAGTCAAATTATGAGAGCGCTAATTTCTCACTAAATAAAACCCAGCATGCTACCAACTGCAGCAACATTACAATTTTAATCTGCTATTTATAGCTACAAGCCCTTTGAAGTCCATAAAGCCTTAGAATTCTAAACACATGGATTCCTTCCTAAACCCAACGGCAGAACAAAGGGACTGAAAGCTTAAGAGTATTTTACTCTTGCAGTTGATCTGGCAATCAGCACAAGGCTCTGAAGCATCCAAGAGCTGCAGGCTACAGGCACCGCAGGTGTAAAATACCTGATTTCCTGCCAGTTCCAATTATAGCACTTGGCTGTATATACACGTAATATTTTCATAGCAAGTGACAGTAACAATTTAGTTTTATAACATGCACCCAAATAACTGCATGCAATGACATACATGAGCTAAAATACAAGATAAACCAGAGCATGCAGTCTGTCACATACTTTCTAAGTATTAAGACTGAAACAAATGCTTAAGTACACAGAGCACCAAGGCCTAGTTGCAGCTACAACGTGCCCTCATTTACCTTAAGGGATTTCAAACAGCTGGCTAAAAACTTCTTTATTTCTGCATCGTTTCCAGGTAGGAATTTCAGAGAGAGATGGGTGAGATGTTTGAAAGGGTTGGTCTCCACTACATTTAAAGAGACAGGTGTGTGATCTAGAAGAGATGCTGAAGAAACTAACTGCAGCAAAAACCTAGGGAAAAATAAAAAATAATCAAACGTTTAGCATATTTCTTCCCCCAAAACTACCTGTAGATCCTACAAGCTATTTTCAAATAAAATATAATTTGATACGTATAATAAAATTTGTCTGTTCAGTTTTTGTTTGAAAAAGAACTATGAAATGCAAACCCTACCTTGTAGTAAATACACAAACAAATATCAAGTAATATAACAAGAAATCAACCTTACAATAAGAAATGTACAAAACTAATCCATTTGTTTATTTGTAAAATTTTCAGAAGCTCATCTTAGACTTCGGAGTCCAAAACCAAATAAGGCCTTAGTTACCAAATTCAAAAGGAAAACAGACTAAAAGTCATAGCACACAGTAGATCCTTCAGGAAGTGGCCTGGTTACTGGAGAGGAGCCAGGCACTCAGGACAAGGCTTTCCTTGGTACCCACACAAACCAAAATAACATATGAAAAGGCCACTACAGGGACAAGTGGACCTCAGGTCTCCTCCCCTCACATCCTAACACCTGAACACTGAAATGAAATTTAAAAATCCTTGCCAGAATGCCTTATAACTTTGCCTTCTCCTGTGAAATAGAACGATTTACACCTCAGTCCATCGAATTCAGATTAGCTCTCTCTCATTAAACTGTTAAAAAAAAAAAGGGGGGGGGGGGGGGGGGGGGAACACAACACACCAGCACTGCACATCCACCAACTGATACTCAGATGCATCCAGGGGAACATTAAATTATCCTTGTTCTACTGACTCTTCTCAGTCTGAGGGCTGACAAGTATTTTAAGAACACGTACACACAGAGTACTGCGGCACTCATTACCTACCTTGGGATATCTTTGTTCTGTTCCTGGATGCATTGTTGAAGCAGATCTATAAATTTTTGTGGGAAAGCAGAGAAGTCTACCAAAAGACCTTGCTGGGATTTTAAACTATATAAACAGATTGAAAAAAAATAAATATTAACAATATATAGAAGTCTAATTTATTTCCTATAAAATACTTTGTTTACACTAGTAGAAAGAACTAATTCTGATCAGGTTATTAAAGTTTGCTAGCATGTTATTTTCAATCCCGAACACGGAAGAAACATGATCACATCTTGGATAATAATCACCAGAGGACATTTTTGATTTCAAGCAAATAGGCTGCACTAAAAAAAAAAAGTTACTGCTGCACAGAAACATGCTCCTTTGAGCAGATGCCTTCTTTACAGCACAGAGCAGCTCAGTGATTAGATAAGAGCACATGGAAGAAGCAAAGGACAATGAGCAGAGACTGAACCATTATCAAAACTTTATCCAGCTACTTGTTTATTTAATTGTGCACCTTCACCATACACACAGTAAACTCAAAGACAGAATCAGACATTCAACAGGGTATGCACAAAGCCACACCTTGTGTAAAAACACTTCTGCACATCCGTTTCATAAACACTGTTTTACTTTTGCCTTTTGATCCACTTATGGATCACATCTCTCTTTATAAAAACAAACAACAAACAAAGCCCAAACAGAACCCAAAGCAAACAGCAACAAAAAAAACCAACCAAAAATCCCACAAGAAAGCCAACAACCAAACAACAAAGCAGAATACTGAACTACTCGTGCCCAGTGCCAAAATTTAATAACCAAATTCTGAGCAAGTAAAACGAGACCCATGAGTACAGCTAGCATGCAAGAAACCCGTAAGATAAAGGTTCAGGTCTGTGAATCTATGTCCATGCAATTTCCTCTGGCAATTATTTCTTCAAATAGTTCACAGCAGTCTACAAGAAGTAGTAATGACAAACAGAAGACGCAAGCAGTAACATAAACTGTGGTACTGTAGCTATGCAGGGAACTTAACACGAGGATTCTGTCATTCATCTGTATAATCTTCAGCCACTCACTTTCCTGTACTTGGCTGTTTCACCAACTGGTGAAGGAGAACAATACTACTAAAATACTGACAAAACTCCACAAGTGAAAATGCCAAAACATAAATTCCAAGATAGACCCTTCTAAGCTAAAGATATTCCGTTTGGGTTTTTTTTTTTTTGCATTTAGGAATTATTTTAGGACAAGATGTTATCATTTTGTTTACCTTTGAAAATCTTCCTCAGATATGACAAGGTTATAAAGGAAAAAAGGATCAGTATCATCAGTCAATCGAACAGCTAAATCCTGGAAAGACAGACATTTAAATACGATTTCAAATGCTATAAACCACCCTGTAGACTGTTTAAATATTGTAAACCAATATTGCAAACAGTATTTAATGCTTTTACTGTTTAGCCAAAAATATGATAGAATTGTGGCAACTAATTCAGAAGGTGAAAAACATTAATGTTTTACATAACTTCAAACATTACAGTGAGAAAAACCAAAAAACTATTTCTCACAAAAATAAACCAAGTAAAAACTTTCAACTTTGAGCAGCAAAAGCTTCAAAATTCAATGTGTCTTCACCATTTTACAGAAAGAAAACTATCTGCTATTTTTCCCCATCATGATATAGTGTAGCAGTCCACTGCAATGGATCACAAACACGTCATTCCCTAAACCTGAAGTTTCTCAGCGCATACTGCTCTTAAAAGTTTAAAAAAACACCTTCTGAAGAGCTTATATAATTGAATACAGAGCTTCACAAAGGAAACATAAAATGGATACAGCTAAAGTCCAGTAAGCTCATAAGGAAACACAGCATTTATGTTACTTTGCTTTTAAAAATAAACTCATTCCTTCGCTGGAGGTCTATGCAGTGTTTTGGAAAAGCTGCCCCCTCTGTAAACCTTAGGCTTTCATTAGGAGGAGGCTGAGGTTATGCAAAACACCTGGTACGTCAGGCCCAGGCACCTGTTCCCTATCAGGAGGCTCGAACCTGTGTGAATAAAATAATATTCCCCAGCAGAGGAAAGACAGGGAGTAGAACCCTGACAGCCCTTCCAACGTAACTGATGTGTGACCCCAGCACGTGTACACACATGGAGCTGGAACAAGTTTCAGTAATTCAGGCACCTGTAACACTAACAAAACTCTCAGCTGGAGAGGTATAAACAAACTTAGGGGATTTAGATGTGCACTTAGCTTATGCTAAAACTAATGCCCCCCAAAACCAACTAGGGCAGGTTGTTGAGTAGGATAAGAATGCCTGCTTCGTTTGATGTCCCATTAAGCGATCCAAGCATTTATCTTTTTAGACTGCTCGCTCACTGATGTACCTAACAGGATCTCCAGGCTCCTGCTGAGACAGGCTGCAACTTGGGGCACAGTTCTTAACTGAACTTAACATTACCATTGTCAAAGGTAGCAGAATCTTTACAATCTCCTTTACAGACAAATCTTTACTCAATAACCAACTAATGGCCAATCTTAACAACACGGTAGGTGCATATACAGTTTAACTAACAAATTAGACATACAACAAAAAAAGATTTTATAACCTCCAGTAGTAATCTCACTGCTACTTTTCCTGATAAAGATTTTTTTTACTGCATATTTAGCACATTACTTTCTTTCTACCCTCCCAGATGAATTCCAAACATTCAAGACTAACACAGTTACCAATAAAAAGCAAAATGTTACATCCACACACAAATTGTCATTTTTGCTAGTTAAGACGAGGACTTTGCAAAGACAACTCTCGCGCTTATTCTTAAATAAGTGTTGAGTATATTTAACATGAGACTGCTCTTAAGCTCTAATTCAGGTTCCTTTGAGGGTCTCCATATACTTTTGATTTGCAAGTTTACTAAGACCCATGAACAGCCAACTAAAAGAGAGGGCTAAACATGCTAGGAAAAAAAAACATCATACAAAACCAATCAAATGATTCAAGAAATTATATCAAAAATAAAATAAGACCAAGTGACAAACATACTAAAATTCTATTTTGCTTTTGCCTACTTGTCCTCTTACACAATGAAATTCAGATAAAACCTAATGAATGACGCAAATGTAACTATTCCACAAACCTTTTTATGAACGGGATTAGAAATTGACAGTAGCTCAATATTCACTCGAACATTTAACCTCCTGTGTACAAAAAGATGAAACTTAGTAACAAATCAAGAACACATTCTCCAAATAACATGTGTTTGTAGCCACATTACCGAAGTTAGATGACATCTTGAAAACAAAAACTTAAGCAGATACTGAGAAAGTTCCCATTGATGACTACTAATGAGATATCTGAAAGCCCCACAGTTTCCAGCTCCTCAGTCAGCTCAGGCTTTTTTGTTACTTGTTATCACCGAACTTCAAATAGCAAGGCAGATGTTTGGAAACTTTGTCCAGAAACTAGAACCTTTGGAAAAGCCTACTAAAATTTATTAACGACTGCTGAAACTTTTGACAATTACAGCCATCAGCCGTTCTGTGCCTTCTAACACAGGCAAGCCAGGCAGCCTAACGCACTAATAAGTCAAGACAGCACCTATATTCCTGAAATCCCACTATATTTTGAACAGACACTTCACCACATAGGATGCTCCCGGGCGTCCCCAAGCACCAGTGCCGAGCCCTACAGGCACAAATGGCCGTGCCCCCGGGCAGACACCCATCGGGACGGGCCTGGGGGCTCGCCCGCGCCGCCGGGGCAGCGCCGCTCCGGGAGGCCGCCGTAAGGCCGGCTTCAGGTCGGGAGGAGGAGGAGGAGGAGGAGGAGGAGGAGGAAGAGGAGGCGGGCCTGCCTGCGGGACAACCGCTGCGGCCTGGGAGACGCACAAACAGCGGCCCGGCCGGCCGGACCCGCAGCCAGAAATCCCGGCCTTCACGCCGCCTTCAGGGGAGACACGTTCGCCCCCACACCCTCACAGCGTTTCTGTGAAGCCCCTGCCTGTTTCCTCCGCTACCAGCGCTCCCTCTCCCCGGCATGGCACCCACAGGAACCACTCCAGCCCTCACTGATCACCTCCAGCCTTCCTGCGACCGAGTGCCCCTCTCTGTAACCCAGAGGGACCCCATAAGCAGCCCCAAAGCAAGACCAAGGCAGGGCTACCCAACTCACCGCGCAGGGCCCCGCCTCTCGCCCCCAGCTGCTTGGGCACAAAGCAGAAAGAATAGAGAGGAGAAAAGAGCCCGTCGCTTGGCAGCCCTTTTCCTAAAGAATGCAATAAAGCTTCCGCGCAGCTGGTGAGAAAACCAAGCCGGCTCCTTACCTCTCCTCGCAGCCATGGCACCTCAGTTGCACGCACACCGGCCGGTTGAACAGACTCTCCGCCGCCATCTTAGGCTTCGAGTTTGGCGCCCGGCTCCCGCGGAGGAGGAGCCTCAAGATGGAGCCCGAGGCGGCCGCCGCAGGGGCTGGTGGGACGGCAATGGCGGCGCCGGAGCCGGGAAGATGTGCTTACTTCGTGGCGAGGAAGAAGCGCTTCTGCAAGATGATCCCGGCTCCTGGGAAGCGGTTTTGCGGAGAGCACGGGCAGCAGGAGGTACTGGGGCTGGCCGGGCGGGGCAGCAAGCCCTGGGGAGGATGGGCTCCTGGGGCCGGGGAGCCCCGACGGCACCCTGGGGCGGCCTGTCGGCCTGAGCTGGCCCGGCAGCACGGGCAGGAGGGGCAGCGCCGGAGCCTTCCCCTGGGCCCTGGTGTGCTGCGGCCATCGGTTCAGCCCGGCAGGAACGCTGCCGTACAGTTACGGGCTTCTTCTCTTAGGATCTATTCAAGTATCAGAATCTTGTTTCAGTTCCTCCGTTCGGGTTAACCTCCGTTCGGGTTTTATGAAACTCAGGTGTCCCTTAACAGCTTTTCTAAACCAGGTACGCTGAATGAATGCTGAAGGTTTGTCTAAAACTTTTGTTTTATAACTAGGAGGAAAATGACAGAAAAAGAATTCCGTGCCCTCTTGATCCAAAACAGTAAGTATATGTACACGCGTAGCTTAGCCTTTGTTGTCAGAATGCACACAGTAAAGGCTGTTACTTACTTTTCTTTCTGTTTGGATTTTAGCACTGTATACGAAGACCAACTACAAAAACATTTAAAAAAATGTAATTCAAGAGAGAAGCCAAAGCCAGTAAGTGTAGTGAAAATCCAGCACTACTTCCCTGTAGATTTAAGACCCTAAGCATCACAGCTGGGCAGAGAATTTTCCTATCCTGCTGGCAGCAGCTGTGAGCTGGAGGACAGGAGTCCTGGCAAGCGCTGCTGAGGACAGCCTGGAAGCTAAAGAAGTACTTGCTTGCAATGGAATTCACATTCCAGTCTCCCCATCTTCCACGTCCCCTCTCCTGTAGTTCAGCTTTTCAGCTCTCTTAGTTACAAATGAAAATGCTGAATTAATTTTTCTCAAGAACATATTCCAAGAACAGTCTCTCTTAATTTAGTCTCTCTCATTTTAAAGGCTTGGTGAGAGACTGTCCCCAGAAAGCAAAGTGAGCAGAAAGGCTGTAGGCGTTTCCTTCCTGGCCGGCTGCCGGCTTCATCCTGGTTTGCTGTGAATTATGGACAACGAGGCTGGTGGCTGCAGCCAGTGCTGAGGGAAGGAATAGGATGGATGTTTCAAAAAAACAGAAGGTGGCTTCTTTATTGTCTGCTTTTCTGCCTTATCAGTATTGCACCTTTAGTATTACCTGGGAAACCTTAAAACAGTCTCTGGAATCAGTCTAGTAAGCATTGAGAGCTTGACTCTTATGAATGTGTTCAATCTTGTCAAAATGTGTCGCAACAGTCATTTCTGCTGGGGATTCAAGATCAGACTGTAAGAAAAAATCTTCTTGGAGTATTTTCGTTTGCAGTGGATTTCTATTGCTACATACCTTCATGATAAAAACACTGCAGAATTTAGCTTTTTCCTTCCTAGTAATTAACGGAATCATATTTCCTTTCTTTTGATTTTTAAAGGTCTACTTTGTTCAAGATATTAATGCAGGTTTAAAAGATGTAGCAGAAATACCAGAAAAACAAGTGAGTATATTTATTTGTTCTAAAACACAGTCCCTACGTAACATGTTGCAATTTATCACATCACTAAAGAACTAGCAAAAATAAAAAGGTCTTCTATTTATGGGTGGTGCTTTTTTTTTTGTTTTGTTTCCTTTAAAAGGTACCTATCTCTTCTCTATCCAAAGATGAGCTGCAAAACTTAATTATCAAGTTGAAAAAAGCAAGTAATGGTGAGCTTATGTAACAGTGAAAGTAAGATGTTTTAAACTGAATTAATTAAAAATTTCATTGTTATTTTTGTTGTAAGATAGCTGTGAAAATGTGAGACATTTGGCACTAGTCACATCTGAAGTAATTATCAAGATGTAGGCAATCCTCCAATAGCTAAATTTTACTCAGAAGAATAAAGTAGATTGAGCGAATGATAGAACACTGATTTCTTGTTCCTAATTTCCCTTCCTTCTGTGTTGTTTCCTACTCAAGTATCATTACATATAACAATATGGCTCTGTTATAAACATGTAATGATAGATTTATGCTCCCAACAGACTGTTTTGTTAGTGCTATAAATTGAGCTCAGGTGTGAATATTGTAACCTGTCTGTTACAAAACGAGAAGCTCTTGGAAACTGGAAACCTATACCAAAAAGCTTTGCATTTGTGTGCAGGCCTGGAACTTCGCCTTAAGGAACAAATCCTATCCCACCAGGCTTTACAGGAAGCCTTAAATGACCCAAAGAACGGGGAATCTGCTTTCAAACACTTGAAGCAACAGGTATGGTCAGTACTTTATTAATAGCAATAGATGTTTTTAAACACGTGGAATTCTGCTGCTGTAAGTTTGACTCTGCATAATGCTAGTCACTTCATGTAGAGGAAATCTGATATGCTGTGCTCTTCAAATAATAGTATATATATAACTTTTGAATGGCCGCTTTGTTAAGCGTTAGTAAGAAAGTTTCATTGGGATACTGAAATAAATTACAAATTGTATGGTGTTGTTCTGACTTTATACTTATATTTTCTTATTTTATATTAACACATAATAAATCTGAGCTACAAAAGGTAAAATGTTGTATTTGCTAAGAAGTAAGAGGATTTTTTTTTTTTACTTTTTCTGTAAGAGCTGATCCTAGATTTCTTGGCTTTGTAACAGATAAGTAAGAGCCTGAGTTTACCTTCTGCCTTTTTAATGTATATTGAACAGCAGGAATTTTGAGGGAGGTGCACTGCATACCAAAGCAAAATAGAAAGTTTTGTGAAGAAAAAAATAAGTGAGAAATGTCTGTTTCCTGTACTTTCTTCCCACATACTACATTCTTTTCCCATGTATTACAAAATGCCTAAATCCAGCATACAAAGAGAGGCCTCTGCAGGCACCGATCCTTCGCAGAAAATCCAGTACAGTACCCATATTTAGCATAGCTACTTTAAGAATCAGCAGAGAAGAATATTATAAAGTGTACTTGATCCCCAAAATCCATCCCAAAAACTTCTGGGTGGAGTTTTGTGAGCAGTGGAGGAGGGGCAGGGTGAGGCTGAGTAGCCAGAATTTATAATCCCTTTATATCTGATCCTCATGGAAGGAGAGACTTGAAAAAGTCTTATGGAGCTTGGTGAAGTAATCATTTTTCTATTAGGTGTTACAGCAGACTGTGTATATATTTGCTTGGTTCGTAAATAAGCTTTTGATGTTTGTAGGCTTCTATTTTAGGTAACATGGAAAAATTGCATTTACTTGGTCCAGGAAGATGCTTTGTTGAGTTTGGAGCTGGACGAGGAAAGCTGTCTCACTGGGTTGATGTTGCCTTACAGAATGTTGAAAATGTTCATTTCTTGCTTGTGGAAAGGGCAACTACAAGATTCAAGGTAAGAGAGGATACTGATGCATTGTCAGAGTATAATTATTAAACTGTTGTCATTGAAGCTGTTAGTATTTGCTTTTTATCTTCAAAAATAACATAAAGCCTTTAAATTTTAGAAGTTTTGGAAGCATGATTGCCTACATTCCATACTTTGCCTAGAGCAAATTTATTAGAAAAAAAAATCCTGGTGTATAATGTTGGAAATGTGCAGATGTTGCCTTGACAGGAAAAAAGTCTGGCATTAATACCTGGAGAAAAATTATAATTATTAGTGGCCAGCCCTACTTAATGATCTTGTTCTGTTTACACAGGTGGATGGAAAACATAAAGGGAGAGATTCTATATTTGAAAGGCTTCAAGTTGATATTCAACATTTATGTTTAAGTAAGTTCCTTCTTGGCTTGCGTAATTCTGAAATAAAGGCTTAATTCTAGATTTTGAATGCTGGAGTTCAAGTCCGTTTGTATGTAGCACGCTTAAATGTGCTTGGTTGTGAAGATTACTCTCAGTGGTTGCTTGGACACGCTAATACTGTGTGTATATACATATACACACACATATATATATACTAAATGGAGAAGTAAATTTTTCTGCTTTTTATACGCTTATAGGACATCATTATAGGTGAGAAACTTTTGAAGGTTTTTTAGAATCTGCAAGGTAAACACGTTTGCATTGTTTGTTTTAGCTGCACAGAATAAAGCAAGTCCTGCATATCATTGATATCAATCATATCAATACTATAGAATTTGTGGGAACACCTGTCATCAGGAGATGCATTATGTCATATTTACATTTCATAGGCAGTATAGAAAGGCTGAAATGGCTAAATATGCTTCTCAGCCATAGCATCTAATTATCTTCATTTGTTTTAGAAAAAGAAATTTTCCTTTTAATAGCTTATAAGTGTATGTATACCACTACTGAAAAGACAGTGGTTCAAACATGTATTTCATTTTATAAGTGTGCTAAAATTATATTATCCAGAAAAAATACTGCCCCAACTATAATAATAGATGTTCTGGGGTTATTGGGGATAGTGTGTGTTTATTTTCTTTTTTTTTTTTTTTTTTTTTTTTTTATATTTTGTTTTTTAAAAAAAAAAAAAAAAAAAAAAAAAAAAAAAAAAAAGTTCTAGGAAAAATATTAAACCC